AAGCCATCTTTCCGTATTTGAAAACAAAAGGACTTTATCAATATCATCAACAATCTTACAATTCTTGTGCTGTTATATTATAGAATGATTTACTCTATCATTGAGGTAGTGACTTAAAGCAAACATGTGGGTGCGACGTAACAAGTACATGCACTTAACATGATCAAATAAAGTATAACTATCAAGTAATCGTTACTAAATATATGAAAAAAGGTACGTTATTTTGCTACAATTCTCTGATTGTCCTTAGACCTATGAGGTTTATATATTTCTATAACTTTGATGTTGCCAACTGGTGATGTCTATAGGCTATATAAAAACACGTTGGGTTATGATTTATAATTTGTATAATTATATAAATGCTTAACATGGAATCCACTATTCTCAAATATTGTGAGAAAGTAAGTTCAAGCGATTTTCATATAAGTTGGACTTAAAGAAAATTGGCCAGTGTGTTTACTCTATATATATATATATATATAGAAGTCCAATTACATTATGAAAATAAAGTAAATAAATTTTTACATGAATAAAATGGTTCATGTGGAGTATAGTGTAGCGGAAGTACTAATTAGTGTAAATCGTATTGAAAAGGGTCTCACTGTAATTCTCTATTCTTCAAGGGTATGTGTTGACGGACATTGTTGTAATTAAGTAGAATTTCATGATATTCTAATTAAATTAGGATATAGTAAGAATCTTATAGAAATAGTTCTAATCCAATAAGAAAGTTGTTTTTATTGCAATTCTACTACTGAATGAATTAGAGATCCCCAAGATCCCACATACATATATTTTTTTCTATAGGTTTTGTTACTATAAATAGAATAACACAATCCAAAATTGGTCATCATAATTTTTGTATTTAAATTCCTCAAAAGAGAAGAACCCTTAAAAAGAATGAAAATAGAGTGAATTCCTTTGGAGACAAGACACGTGGATTGCTAAGTGAGGTTAGATTTTCAATTACAGTTTATAATTCATAATTATTGTGTGCTAGATCTTGGATTTTCTATTAGAATTAGATTTTGAATAATCTGATTATTATTATCTAATTGTATCAGTTTCAGGTATCAACTCCTCCATTTATTTGCTAAACCACAAAGGGAGTCGACTGGGACTTATGAAGCAATGAAGAAAGCTAGAATTTGTTGAAAAGAAAGGTATTTTGTCCAACTAGAGCTGCAACAATTTGGACATGAAACTTGTAAAGAGGTGCAACGACTTGACTCTAGCAATTTTGAAAGCAGCATACGTTTTGTCCAGCAAACCGATTACTCCAAATCAATGTAACTCAGTGTTCTAAAAGCCGACCCGAGGTGTCACTTAGGCAAGGGCCAGATCTCGAGTTGACTGATTAAACTGGCGGTTTGATTGGTATCCAACAAGTTTAAAATCTAGCAAAATCACCCTTCATAAATTTCATCAGTCCCTACAGGTTTGAAATCAAGTAATCACACCTCTATGACAGTTAGGGTTTCACTTTTCCTGGCCAAATTTTGGCTGATTCTGGCGGCCAAAATTCAATCTGACACCACTATTAGAACCGCCAACCTCCACTCTAAAAACTCCTCTAACCCCGGCACTTGGTAGCCCCCCGTTCGCTGGTCGTGACTTGCGTATACCATTGCGATTGGGTTGATTTTTCTGGCCAAATTCCAGCGGATTTTGATGTCCAAAATTTAATCCGACACCACCACCTAAACCATCAGCCTCCACTCTAAAAAATCCCTCTAACCTTGGTACTTGGTAGCCCCCTGTTCATCGGTCGTGACTCGCATATACCACTGTGATTGGGTTGAATTTTTCGGCCAAATTTCTGTTGATTCTGGCATCCAAAATTCAATCCGATACCACCCCTTGAACCATAGACCTACACTCTATAAAATCCCTCTAACCTTGACACTCGGTAACCCCTTGTTCGTCAGTGATCAACTTAAGGATTTTGGGAACAAGTTAAAGCAGTAACCCGGCCGGGAGAAGGCCTCGAGTCTCAGTCTAATCAATTAAATCGGTCGAGCCGGTTCAGGTTTTAGAACAGTGATGTAACTATTTATGCCAAACTTGTGATGTTTTTTGATTAATAAAAAAATAGCTGAGTTAGAGTTATCGATTTGGATTTTGTTATTTTGGTTTTCTATAGTTTTGTTATTTTAGAATAATTTGTATAATTAGTTTGTATACATAGCACTATTCATTAAATATTAATCAACAAAATTATCTCTACTATATTGAAAAATGACATTTTTGCCCTCTGTTTGCGACTGTCATCCTTGTCATTTTCTTTACGGGGAAGTAACAAATTTAGGTTGAGTTCTTTTATTAATTTGTTTTGTATTTTATGAAAAAATGAAAAAAAATGATGAATATTTAATAAAACGAAAATGCATTTAGGCATATTTGTCTTAAAATAGTATTTTGAAAACAAGTGCTGCTACATGTACAATTAATTATACAAACTCATATCGAAGACCTCATTAATTGTTACATCATTCATCAATATTAATTGAATTAACTTTTTATACGCATTCATCCATTCATTTGGGTTAAAATCTGAAAATGAAAATGAAAATGTAAAAATGAAACAATTATGTGACTTACCAATCTAATTAAAGTATGCTAGAACACGTTTGATGGTGCTAGATTTGACAATCTAGTGTATCTCGGTTATTTTTATTAAGGATAAGTAAGTTAAGTTATATGATTTTATTGTTAAATTTGTTTTTTAAACAAAATCTTGAAATTTGAGAATTAAGATTATTAAAGATGGTTGTATATGGGAAAACTTTTTTCCATAGTTTGTAAAACTACAAGCAGCTCTGGTACATCCAAAAACGGTTTTCGGAACAGTCGGAGCTATGGCTTGGGTTGAATTGGTGTTGCTTCATTCGTAAAATGGTAATGCGCATGCCGATTGCATTGAATAAATGTTGGTCTTATTTGATTATTTTTGTCGCCAAACTTCAGATTCTTCGCTTGATAGTTAATTAATGGCTTCTCAACATTTCTTTTCATGTAGATTTCTTGTCGATATTTGAAAGAATTGGCATGGTATTGTCCGTGCCTACATAAATAACCTAGCGGACTTATCAATATTTATTTACATTTTACAAAAAAATAAAACGTCTCAAGCACAATGACTAACAGATGAATATGCATTTCTGATTTGGGTTTACTATGTAAGTCATACTTATCTTGATGAATATTTATTTAGTTCACCTTGCTTTCAACGCTTTAAGCTTAGAATCTAAAAGCTTTCAATTACATTAATCTTTTAAAAAAAAAAAAAAGTTCCTTTTAGAATCCCTTATCTCAAAGTTATATTTCTATTTGGAATCAAACAGACTTTATCAAATATCATCAACAAATTGTCTTGGATTTTTGAAATATCCTGAAAACATCCTTTTATCAGTAGATGAATTTTTGTTTTCTCTTATAAGGTTGACCCTAAAAGCTGAAGTGCTTATCTACATTCTACACTCCTTCCCTGACCGAGTTGTTTTTTACAACAGCTGACTTTGTTTAGTGGTAAGTTGTTATTTATAAACCTTTCAGCTTTTTATGAGCTCAAGTATAATGTCTACCCATACTTGTAGTTTGCATGCATGTCCAACAAAATACTTGGTAGACTTCAGTTTTTATCGGAAAATGAAAAGAAAATATTGCTGACAACAACAATCGTTGATATCGAAAGGCCAAAATAATTGTAAGGATGCTTCCACAATTGTCTTGCTATACTTTTCAAACTTGGAAGTGTTGCATTATTGTACCTTAGCATGGGCTAAAGGATTCTTCTCTTGTATACTGATATAAGCATTATCCATTACTCCAAATTATTTCAGTTTCTATACTCTTCAGAAAAAAAGGAGAAAGAAGATGAGTGCAACGATNTGAGTAGAATGGGGCCGAGCCGACAGAGGGAGAAGACTGAGTCTGAGTCAGAGTCACCAATGGCGTAATGTTTAAAAACAGGACGGGGTCGTGGTCCGCTTCACTGCTCCCCGCTACCGCTAGTATTTTTCTTGTATAAAAAAAGAGAGGTGTTGTGTTAGTAACTTAGTGTATATTAGCAAAGACAGAGAGGGGCAGTGGGTCAACTGTGGGTAAAGCGTGTTGGAACGGTTATTAACACGTGACACGTAGGATTACTGGTCCCCACTGTGGTGGATTTTACAATGTCTAACACCTCACCTCCGTGTTATTTTGTGTAAAACTCATTTTAATTTGACTTGTTTATTACACATACATATTTATTTAATTTCATTAATAAAAATGTTACATAATAGGTATAAGAGCAATTAATTAAAAAAATAGGCAGATGGTGAGAAGACAAAATGTGTAACATGGTCCACGCTTCCTCCAACCTATGAATCTGCAGGGGTAGGGAGGGCATGGCCCATTAATGAAGGTGGGAGGCCATTAATATTGAAAAAACTTTAGTGGTTAGAAGACACAAATTTCTTGCACTTTCTACACACTGTAATAAACACAGGTAGTTCAAACATTGGCTAAACAAATTTCCAAGGTTTGGTGGAAGCCGATTGGTATGGTTCAGTGAATCAATAACAGTTGCTGCACAAGACACGTGGATTGCCTTTGCCTTAATCTTTTTCGCTTTTGCTTTTGCTTTTGGAATTGGATGCCACTCCCACGTCGTCGTTTCATTCTTAATTCTAAGAAGACAATTGCGGCTTCGTTTCCTCTCCTTTCTTAATTCTATGTATTGCTTCGTGTCGAAGTTCGGTTCAAACACGGTGCCTTGAAAAGGACCATCTTTATATGAATAAAAAAGTCATCTTGAATTCAATTCAATAATCAAGTATACACCTATACATTTTTTGTTGTTTCTGTATGCAAATTGATATAAGAAAAAAAAATTAAAATTAAAATATGTCTATTATTCATTAAAGGCAGAATAAAATGTGTGAATAAATATTCAAATCACTTTTGTATTTCCCAATTGAGAATGTAATTGCCGTCCCATCATCAATTACACCGACGCTAAGAAAATGTTTTGGGCTTTTAAGATCCATTGATATTGTTTTGGGCTGACGGCATCCTTAATAGGCCACTTAAAGGGCCTAAAGAATCTCAAGTCTAGAGCCACGCACTGAGCTGAGGGCTGGGGCTGGATAGCTCAAATCTTCGGATGATGAAGACTAGAGGCAACTAAGTATTTGAAGTGAATGGCTATGCTTCTTACACATTACTCTCACTTTGGCTTCACATCATCACAACACCAAACTCTTCTTTCTGTCTCTGTGTTAGTGTATTTGCAATGGCAATAACTCTACACTCACTTGCATTCGCATCTCCGGTCTCACACTGTTGTCAACACCAACCACGCTCTCTGTCAGGTATTTTCCCTTACCTTTATAAGTTCCTGGAATCAGTGCTGAAAGAAAACAGTGAAGCAATAACTGTGCAATGCATGAATGTTTTTTACTGTTTTTGGTCTTTCAGTTACTTTTAAATACATTTTTTTAGTTGTTTTTGAGGATGTTTTCTCCTGTTTTCGGTCATGTTTTGCCTTTGCTTAATATGGTTGGATTTAAATTTGTTAAGAGTGTAATTCCCGGACATGTAGCATTACTAGATATGGGTGCTTAATAAAATTTGTATCTTTCGGTAGGAAACTTTTGACATTCTTGATATTGCATTTCTCCTGTTTAGGAAAATTATTCAGTGGATTGTTTCTATGGAAATGTATTTAAGAAGTATTAAATTGTTGACCCATAACTTGTTTGTCTGATAAAATGGGTGAGTACTGTTATGGAGACTCAGGTTGAGCTAAAGTCATAATTAATTGACTAAGCGGCGTCGAGAGAAGTAGTTTGAGCTCTATGAATTCTTTAGTAACTCGCTGAAATTGTTATGTTTGAGGAAGGCATTAAAAGAAGTAGCAAAAACAAACAGCTTCCCATCTATTATAAATTTAATATGTTAAGAGCAAAACTTGTTTTGTGTATTTCATTTTACAGGTATAGTAACATGGTCTGTTCATGGAAGTGTGCACTCACCCTTCATTGGCCAATCTTTACACCTGACTCGCCCACGCTTGGCCCCATTAAAAACAAACTCTCTGATATCTGGACACATAACAATGATGGTCAAACCAACAATCCAGTTCATCCAAGGAACCGATGAATTGACTGTACCAGATGTGAAGCTAACCAAATCAAGAGATGGTACAAACGGTATGGCTATATTCAGTTTTGATCAACCCTCAGTTTTTGACTCGTCCAATGAAATTGGTGATATCACTGGATTTTATATGATTGATGAGGAAGGGGTTCTTCAATCAGTTGATGTAAGTGCAAAATTCGTTAATGGAAAGCCTTCAAGGATTGAAGCAAAATATATAATGCGGTCTCCCCGAGAGTGGGACAGATTCATGAGGTTCATGGAACGATATGCAAATCAGAATGGATTGCAATTTGTCAAAAGTTGAGGCAATGTTCATTCTCTTGTTTCTCGTTTGCTTTGCTTTTATCCTATCACCTCTTTGGTTTTGTGTAATGCCAGTGAAACTTGAAGGCCTCGGTTGACCGCTTTATTGGTTTAATGCAAATACCATAATGCTCCACTCTCTCCATCAAGACAACAAATTTTGCTGTTTCTATTAATGTATGATTCTCTTTCCTTCTTTATGTACATCTGAGCGGACAGTTCATGTTCCTGAACTTTGTTTAATGAGTTAATCTTTCTTTGGAATTTGTCTCAGAAAAGATGAAAGTATATATTTAATGAATCGATTCATTATTGGAAGGTTTGTCTGAGAAATGATGCGTGTCCGTAAGATCTATCATTTCTCGTGTACTGCAAAGTGTCTCAGTGTGTGAATTTATAAACCTCTTCTAGGCGTTGATTGAATAATTCATAACATATTTGTTTATTGATTCTTTATCATGTTTCTGGCCGAACATAATTTAGCATTACTACTGTTAGTCTTCACTGAATGACAAAAGCAGAACTATCTCTACTTTTAGAAATGCCACTACTCTCATAACCACTGCGACTGTTACTTCCAAGTCACTGAAATAGGACTTCGAACCCTGTAAAAGCTGCTGTTGCCAGAATGAACCCATGTCAACTGTCCTTGTGCAAAGCTCATCTTATCTTTTCCTGGACTTCTCTTCCTTGATGTAAACCAGATTTTATAATTTAAATTTTGGTTTATGTTCTTGAATACTATCCTTCGAGGTTTGACTCTCACTTTGACGCCTTCTGGAGCCACTACGTCCACTGAGTAGATGGAATTAGGACTCCCGACGTTTGTCAGTCGCCTTGTGGTCATTTTGGTTGTCTTTCCATTCTTAAAAATTACAGAAATGGAGGGATAATTGAGACTGAAACCCCTGTTCATCTGTAAAATTTCTTCGCAGCTCACGTTCCTGTGAGTAATTGCTAAAATTTCTGATTTTGTGTATCCTAGAGTGCATAGATGAGTGATATACTCATCTGGTGTAATATCATATATCAATCCAGGATTGATTGCTCTTTCTGGGTTTATATGGCCTGCTCCGATAGCGAAAACTCCAGCAGGTTTATTCCCATCCATTATCGGTTTTCCAAAATGGTCATTTGTGTCAGCAGTTGTCATAAGTGCAGACTTAATGGCTGCAGGGGTCCATTTGGGATGTGCTGAGCGGATTAGAGCAGTGATGCCACTGACATGGGGACAAGCCATGGAAGTCCCGGACATGACGGTGAAATTCACCCTTCTTGAATCTTCCGGAAGGCTTGTTGGACCTAAGTTTTGAGGCCAAGCAGCAACTATATTGACTCCAGGAGCAATTACATCAGGTTTCAGGATGGTAGGACTATATAAACTTGGTCCTCTGGCCGAAAACTGTGCTACTGCTGGTGCCCTTGATCTCCCAATAGCAGTTCCTCCAAATATGATTCGAGCTCTAGCCCTCCTTGTGGAGTTAATATAAGCCTTTAAACGAACTGCCTCTGCAAAACCAATCACTGTAGCCGGCAAGACATGGACATCAACCGAATCCTCTTCCAGGTTTATCACTGTATTTGCTAAAATCATTGCAGCGCCACCCGCTTCTTTCACAACTTCACCTTTTTCTGCCCTTCCATTGATACCTCGATCACAAACCACCATCTTACCGCGAACTTTTTCCTTTGGGAGAGACCCTCTCAAGCAAAATTCACTTCCCCTCTCATCACCACTTATCACATAAACTAGTTCAAGCTCTTTTTGTAGATTGGATAATTGGTTTCCTGGGTACATGGATTCTCCATAAAGGAGTCCTCCGTTACCCATCCGAACAATAGCTGGAAATCTTCTGTCTAGTGTGCTTGCACCAACGGTAGCTATCCAAGGAGCTTCATTAGCAACTGAGTTTTGGAGTGGTCCACTGTTTCCTGCTGCACATACGACAGAAATTCCATGCTCCATTGCCCGAAAACTACCAATTGCGATGCTATCATCAAAAAGCGGTAATGGGAAACCGCCCAGAGATAGAGAGAGAACATCAACCCCATCTATAATTGCAACATCCATTGCCGCTAAGATATCGGAGCTATAACAGCCACTGAACCAGCAAACTTTATATACAGCAACGTGAGCACCGGGGGCCATTCCTCGAGCCACGCCTGCTCCATTACCAAGCACACTTGCCATTGGAACTGAAGTTCCACCAGCCGTTGATGCTGTATGAGTCCCATGCCCCTGGGAATCCCGCGGTGACACATATTCTTGAATAATATTTGGCGAGGATGACATTGAAGCCACACGGTGACCCCTAGAGAAGAACCTGGCTCCAATAAGTTTCCTGTTGCAATTCGAAGCATTGAAGTTTTCACCTTCTTGGCAAATCCCTCTCCATTTCCTGGGAACTGGGGGCATTCCCTGATCATCAAAGCTTGGACTTTCAGGCCAAACTCCAGTGTCAAGGACCCCAATTATGGTTCCATAACCGAAATGGGAGCTATACCAAGCTCCTCCATTTGAGGGCCGCTTTGGTCCTAAGAATTTGTAAGAGTAAGTTGTCTGAAGTTGGAACCTCCTGTCAGGTCTAATTGCAATGACGTCAGGCAACTTTTGCAAAGACTCAAACTCTGATTGAGAGAGTTGAGCAGCAAAACCTTCCATGGCAGAATGGTAGGAGTATAGAAGGCGAGAAGAAGGGTCCTCCTCGGAGGAAATGGTTTGTTCAATGAAGGAGAGATGCCAATGAAGCTTAGAAGTGAACAAAGAGCTAGTTAAACCATGTGGGTGGAGTTGAACTACGTAGGTTTGGAGAGTGTCTGCGTGAAGAGAAACAAAGTAGAAGAAAATAACAGAAACAAAAAGGGAAATCTTGGGTTCCATGGATTAAGTGAAACGTAAAAAACAAAGCCAGAAACTGGATGCATGGTTTGGTGAAAGGAAAGTGGGGGTATTTGAAGGAGTTGAAGAGAATTCAAAACTGGGTTAGAGAGATCTGAGAGAGAATATGAAACTCGTGAAATATAAGAGCTCTTCATCACGAGGATCGTTTGTTGTGACAGTGGGAGAGAATGTGTAGCTGCTTGAGGAGCTGAAGGAGTTTGAGTTAGCTTCACGAGAAGTTAAGGTTAGTTTTAATACATGTGGTATAGACGTTAGATTTTAAATGCTATGAATCTTTGTTTCTGAGTTTTGTTTTGTCGAAGTGAGAAATTGTTAAGGAAACATGAATGGAGTGGATGGTTGTCATTAAATGAAAGGCTAGTTGAAATCTACATTTGATTCAGGCAGACGCTCTTATGTTTCTCCGAAACAGAATAGCTCCCTCTGCCCCGTGCAGCTTGTGTTTGCTTCACTGCAGTGTGCTACTGCTACCCTTCATATTTCACTATTTTCTATATCATATTTACTCATGCGCACACATGTGACAGGAATTTATGTTTAAAGTTTCTTTTTTTTTTTTAAATAAAAATAAAAGAACATTCATAAGTCATTGTTTTGAAGTCTCATATTGCTCTATGTGAGAGGGTGCGTGTATCCTATATATATAGGGCTATAAGCCTTTAACCCAACATGATGCGTTTTGGATTTGAAGCCCATAAATAAAACATGAGGCCATATAGTGTCAAAGCGGACAATATCATGTTTGACCATTTATAAACACGTATAAACCTTTAACCCAACATAACGCGTTTTGGGTTTGAAGCCCAAAAATAAAACCATGAAGCTATGTAGTGTCAAAGCAGACAATATTATGTTTGACCGTTTGACCATTTATAAACATGTTATCAACGTGATTGCGATAGAGTTATGTTGTGAAGTCCCACATCTCTCCATGTGAGAGGGGGTGCATGCAATGGAGGGGTATGTTATGAAGTCTCATATGCCTTCGTGTGAAAGGAGGTGTGTATATATACTGGGCTATAGGCCTTTAACTCAGTACACATTTTGGGCATAAAGCCTAGAAACAAAACTGTGAGACCCTGCCATGTCAAAACGGACAATATCATGTTTGGCCAGTTGTAATTGCCATAACCCATAATTGTAATTTAAAAGACTTTATTTTGTAAGATTTATGTGCAGAAATATGCTCACATATGGGCCATATTGGGCTGGGTGATGATTCATAAAGTCCAACAAATGTGTTAGGCTGGGTCATGTTGAGTACCGTCACATAAAAGGGTCTCTTTGGCCCATTGGAATACTCCGGGGCACCGCGAACGCTTCAGAGAATGGGTTACAGTACAATACAAATACAGGTTGTGTCCAGCTTCAAAACACATGACATCCCATGCCGGTGAAAGGTACCGTGGCGGTAACTCTGTTGGCTGGCTCCAGATTTCTAACAATACAACTCTCATCCAGCTCAACACCCACTTCAAAATATTCTAAAAATTTTTATTATTTATTTAATTTCAGTTTTTTCCCTTATCAACACCATCAATTGAACTCTAAACTGTTAAACTTTTATCATAATGATACCTGCTTATAATACTTCAATTCTGATGCTTCAGTTCATATTTAATCTAGCAGTGCATGTCTTTTCATGATTCGGTTAATTTTTTATCAATGTAGGAAACCAGATTCTATACAAATGCAACTAATTTACAGGTATAAGAACAATTGTCGTATAACAAAAAATAAAATTAATTGACAGAATAGGTCCTGTGGATCTAAACACAACTACAACTACGTTGGAGGCACATGACGATAACATCAGTGCATGGAAGGGATTTATACATGATTAAATTCTAAATAGAATTTACCACCTTTTCTAAATATTAAAAATATTACCAGATTCTTTATAGTGTGATAGAACTCTACTACTTAAGTAACTAAAGAAATTTAAATGTCAGCAGAACGGTTTAGATTCTTTAGAATGATTGAAATCATCTCCCAAGTTTCCCATTAACCAATGTGCATTGATTGGACAATAATCCAGGGCAAACCGCACTCGAAGCTAACTGCAATTAACTCAGATATACTTGTTAATCACTCATGATTATTACTAGTATGCATTGGTTGAACACCTTAGGAAGACAAAAAATTGAATTCTGAGCTACAATACATTACAAAGAATTTCTAAGCCAAATTCAGATTGCAACATGTAAGAGATTCTATATTAAAAACTGTATTAGAAGAAGAAAATGTGTATACTCTGGTCCAAAACATGGAGCATGGCCTATACTTGATGGCAGTTTCTACAATGATTTCATAGCAAAGCCTACAACCCACCTGACTCGAGGTCAAAAG